CATTGAAGAAGGGGGACTTGGAGTGACAAGGGACCATGGAAGCTCCCAAGCTTCCCAAGCCAAAATAACTCCCCGCGACGGGGACGGGCCCCGGGGAAGCATAGCCAAAAACTCTAGGAAAAAAACCCATACACTACGGGCATTATTTTATTTAGGAGACTTGTTTCATTACGAATTCTACAATACGTATATACGAATCCCCTAATCCCCTTACATAGTGACGCGGTTACAGGTTATTGCAAATAACGCTTAACTCCCGGGACAGGGCTGGCACGAACCATGACGAATACGTGTTATCGTATGTACATGCGTGTATACGTGGGATAGTAAAATGTATGTATGATACGAGTTAACTATGTGTGGTATGTTACGGGATGTAATGTAGGTACGCTGTGCCGCCGGCAATGATTCCCCCACCGCCACACCCAACGATCATTATATAAAGTTGCTGGATGGCGCGCTTGCGGGCGAGGCGCGCATCTACTGCTTCCGAAATTATGTAGACACTGATTATTCATAGAACAGGATCCAGATGCCAGCTTGCCCCGGTCCTATCATGCGAAGACCGCCCATGAGATGCTCGTTCCGCAGCGACTCAGACCAAAGAGTTCATACACTACATCTACATCACACATTCATACATCATACATTACCATAACAGCATAATCCAACATTGCGGACAACAGGAACTTTGAAGCATTGTCGATTGCACGCATGGTTCCCCCAACGTGGACGGTTACACCAGTTGCGACAACAGGACAAGCATCAGCTGGTTTCGCCCTAGGGTCTGATGGTCGTGTCCGGGGATGGCCTGTCTCGAGTCCTGAAGAAAACGTCCCGGGCTTCCGATAAGGGCAATCCGCAGGGAACAACTGATGAAGATCTTATGAGCTGCCATCCTGATAGGCTTCTATCAGCCGAGTTTCCAAACTAGACAAGGTTTACCTACCCTGAAATACTGTGCATTAAGAAAAGTTATGCATTCGGCATGGAAAAGATCAACGCCTAGGATAGCGACCTTGACGCATTTTCATCTACACGCAGAAGAATCACTCACGATGCTTGCATCCACGTATATAACAACGGCTTCTCTGAAGACTTTATAGCTTTAACTTTGAACACTTCGAGCCAGTATTATTCCATCATCCAAGGTTAGCAATACGATACCATCATGTATTAGTTAAGTCGCTTATTTCAGCATTCGAATTATTCATCAAATTTTATATATTTATGACTTATTAGACGAGCTGTGCCTTAGAGGATTTTCGGCTATGGTTATGGTTTTCCATACTTGTTTATTTCGAGATGGTCTAGCGCTCAAAGTCTTCCTTCACCCCCCGCAGACCATTGGGCAAGGCACACGAAGCAATGGCTCTCGTTGGCACGTAGTGCAATCAGAAGCTATCTAGAAATGAGCAAAAAGAGGCCAATCTCATGTGGGAGTAAAATACCGAATGCTCCGGGATTCGTTCGAGTCATGTTACTCGCCGTTATTACAAATGGGACGAAAGGTAGTGCGGGCAGATCAAAGTCGTCTTCTGCATCTAGACCTGTCTAGACTCGGTGATGCACGCTGGCTGTCCGTACGCCTACCATTCGATATGACAAGTGATGAAGACATTCCGCATTTCGTACTTGACATTACAAAACTCGGTTTTAACGGTATGTAATCACGAAATGATCGTCTACTATGTATCAACTAGAAGCTGTGAGAAACCCCGCCAGGAGAAGCAAGCCATCACGATCGTCCCGAACATGGCTAGTTCATAACGCAGGCAACATACACCCGTCGGAATCTATTTGACGAAGCACTTAGTTAGATAGCTTGACGATAGCTTCCGCTAACTCCGGTGGAGGAATTCGGCAAGCACTGCGTGTAGATTCTGGGCTTCGATACACTGTCTTGACGGTAAATGCCGTTTAGATAATATGTCAACGCTCTATATATTCTTTTGTAGGATAGCTTGATACCGTAGTAAAAATTCAAACATGTCAAAGCCTGCCTTTTCCCCCTATCTAAATAAGCGTATTTTGAAATACCTACTGCTAGTTTCAACTACATTATACCAGCGCCCTCTATTATTCTGTCGAATCGACCGTCACGACTTCCGTAAAACGAACTAAATCTAATAAAGACAACTAGACCACAGCTCAAATAGAATGAGGCGTACGAAATACAGTGATGAGATACGCCAGTATCGAATTAAGGATGGCTTGAAAGAAATATTACCAACCAGTCAAGTAACGGCTAGAAAACAGTGCCTAGCAGTTTCTGTAGATCAAAATATGACTTATTTGATCGTGACAATAGTATATGTCCTAAAAGGGTGTTTGGCTGACGCCCTATCAATACTTCATTTTGCATGAATATTTACAACCCGAGAGATTCTACCAAGGCAGGGCAAAGGATCTACATACGAGAATTCTAGCCAGATATGTAGGAAAGAAGCGCGATATCCAGATCCTTGTCTTCGACAGCCATAATTCGCCTATTCCGACCCCAAATCTCGGCATCAGCCAGTATGACCTGCAGGTTCTGCGCTACCACGTAGCATTATGATAGATAGTACTATGTAGTATGTAGAGTGAGGCGTCTTGACCAGGCTAATCGCTAACCGAAATCGCCAAGCTAGTCATGCCTTAAGGTAGGTAGGTATATTAATTTTTTTCTCGACAGAGGAGCCCTTAGTTCGTCCTAGTGCCGGCGCTTCTAACGTAGTCTGGGTCGGGATAGAGTATCTACTTTCCACTGTGCTTGCCAGCTTACGTACCATATGAAATATCGAGGAAGTTATTGGGTAAGCACTTCTTTACCGCCGTCGAATAGCTCAATTTGTCTTACGAGAATTTTTTGAGGCTGGAACTATGTACGGCTGGACTATTCGCCATTACACCGAGCCTACAGTAGGACGGTTGTAATCTCGGTGAAGGCTAGGAGAATTCAGACGTCGTGGTGGGTCTCTTCTCCTGCTTGGATTCCTCGCCGCGAATGTACCTACATGGAACATCCTCGTTGCGAAATACGGACTACTGTTTCCAAGACGTTGTCCTTTTCCTAGGTACGTAATGGCCTGCAGTTACAATGCGTGTGTAGTATTCGAGACACATACATAGACAATAGAGCAAACGTATGATGATAGAACCATCTAGTTATAATTTATCATTGGCGTGTTGTATGTAGTATCTAAGAGGTAGGCATGGAATTTATATTTTGTATTTACTTAGCATCAGAGCTCAGAGCGAGCGCTATCCGAGTTAAGAAAGGCGTCCCGGCATAAGCACGTTCGCGCTACTTGCAAGTTCAGGGGTTGCCTCTTACAAAACCTATATGGGAAAATTCATTGCGAAGAAATACGATAGTAAGGGGTTTAGACAAGGCTAGAGAATTGCATCACCATCATCAAAGTATTCTGAGCAAAGCTCTTGATAGTTGTGATAGTCCTCCTCGACGACCCCTACCTCTATCCAAGCAATTGTCGTAGTGTAGGTCTTCATCCGTTCTTCAAGTCCCCCCACACGAAGCCCCATAGATATAGAGTCATACCCATTCCCCAGAAGCTGGCTATAGTCGTGGTTATAGCATGTCTCCAGTGCTCCATATACCCGCTGCTGTGAGCTTGACTTTTGGAGAAAGCGGGATCTAAAGACAGAGCCTCAACTCGCTGCCGAGATCGTATCCACCACCTAGAGCTTATCATCAGTAGAACCTCATTTCTCGCCGCGTCAATTTTTGCCGAATCAACCTTTCGATGACGATAATAATGCCATTTCCGATTTCATGTCCTCGATAGCTCCCTCATCCCCTTTTCGAGATGCGTATACGACCACGAGACCGCCTCTGTCTCCCGCGATGGCTTCTGATAACTCCTTCGATTCATCCACACGAGCATCCTAAGACGGTACGCCAACGCTTCTACCATCTCCCTTAAATCTCAAAGAGCAGCAATACCATAAGAATCCAATTTCTCTTCGAGTTAAACATGCCTCTTTATAGAGAGTAAACAGGCTTCTTCTGTATCGACTTACGAAGACACAGGCTTCGACAATTATCCCAAAACCGACCGCAAACTATAACGACACCTACATGCTCGCATCAATTCAAGCCCGAAGTGCCCTAAGTTATAATCAAGTTTGATTTGCATACGTTACGTGCTAAAAAGCAAAAACACTTACATCGTAGATCCTATTCTTAGGTATTGATTGGACGAACGAACGATTCCAAGAAAATAAAAGAAAAAAATATAGTTAGAGATAACTACTTAATAAGTCTATGGGTGTACACGTAGAATAAAGTCAAGTATTAGGATAGACGAGTACAATAGGTCTACGGTTACTACTTGGCCACTGCACAAGGAAAGACGGTCTCGAATACCTACTGCTATAGAAGGGGAATCGGACAGACATCCTGCCCCAGCAGTCCGGGCCCAACCCAACTCTGCCTAATCCACCTCATTGGGTATATAATAGAATACTACACATGCCAGGGAAAAGCTTAAGCAAACCTACGATATTACCCTTGTGACTCGTCACAGATTTAATCAACGATACCAAGACACGATGGAGAGGTTTGCTACCAGTTCAACATTAGGTACCTCCTATCAAACACTGTCTACTTCGTAAGCCTAACAATTAGACAAAAAATTTGTCTGATACCGCAACCGCACAGTTACGAGCAAACATTGGTCTTTTTCGTAGTTTCCTACCGTAATAGTGCTGCACCCTTCCAACAACGACTCTTTTGTCTATCTCGTACCCAAGCCAACTTCTTCACGACGCGTCCTAACTTCACTGACTGATCGTATAATAAAATTATCTTGTTAACTTGCATATTTGAAATAGCAATCGTGTATATACAGTAATCCATAATAGATATGTCAAGCCACAGCTCTGGTGGGTCTGAATATTGTCTTATGTAAGCTCTTATGTAAGTATAATAGAGCTCCACTGATAGCTTATCGGATTAACCTCGACAATATCGGATTAACCCAAAAATTCAATCTCGTCACAGTCGAGATCACAATTAATACATATCGCATACCTACGGGATATCCCACCTGTACGGCATTCCCGAGGTACGAGGTAGTGAATTCATGGCGACAACTACCTCTGTCCGGCCTGCAATTGGCCGGATAATAAGCGCTGCTGGGAACCAGCATGTTGCGAACCCGTCGTCTCTGAGCGTGCTCTTAATAAGAGCTGCGACTCAAAGTTGCCCCTTCTCCTCGACCCCAGACCGAAGTATGCGCCGGGCGCGCCGCGACAACAACAAACAGCGTGGGCTGAGCAGCATATACCGGTCAGGGCCGCGATTTAGGATGAACATCGAGAAGGGTCAGCTACCGAAACCGGTAGATTTCAAGCCGGACGTTAAAGTCGACCCGAACCACGGACTATGGGAGTTTTTCTACTCCAAGGAGAGGCTCCTGCTTACTCCCGATGAGGATTCCGAGCACGGACGCGGGTGGACCGTCGAGGAGCTGCGACATAAAAGCTGGGAGGACCTGCACAAGCTCTGGTGGGTTTGCGTCAAGGAACAAAACCGCATTGCTACGGCGCGGAAGGAGAAGGCCCGGCTGAAGCTTACGAACGGGGCAGACATCATGGAAGAAAGGCTATCAGAGGTAAGAGCCTACATCTAGAATCGACGACCCTTGCTGGCGCTAACCTATGCGTGCGTGCAATACGTAGGTCCGCAAGACTATGAAGTCGATCAAGCACGCCCTGACGGAACGGTACTACGTATGGGAGGACGCGAGGAAGCTAGCCGAGACAGACCCAGAAATCGATCTTGCCAACACAAACCGCCCTTATACTCCGAGTTCGTATTTCGACGAAGACGTGAAGGAGGCGGAACCAGCAGAGGAGCAAAAGGAGACACAACAAGAGGCGTCATCGGAACAACAGCAGGAGGGATTAGAAAAGTCGGCAGCTGAAAAGGTTGATCCGTCTACGCTTCCGCCTAGTGCTACAGAGCCTCAACAGCCCTCGACGAGAGTATGAGCTTACGAGTAACTATATGTATTGATACAGGGTATAAGCTCCGGGAATGGAGCATGTAAATATGTTACATTAAGCCAAAAGCCAAAAGCCAAAAGGGTTGCAAGATGAATTGTAAATCTACCTTAATGCCCAAGCTTAGGTTAGGTACATAATTCGTAAACTCATATTAGATGGCTTCAATGATATAATTGCAGTGACAGCGGTAATTATAGCAAATATAGGCAATCAATAGTGCGTAAATACCCTGTAGTAGATAACAAGTATTGTACCTGATAATAAAAGGGGGATAAGGAAAGTTAGATTGGAAAAAAAGGGGGGTTTGCTTTAGGTAACTAAGCCAAGCGCGGGGTTGGCACTAATTGGAGCTGATTGGCGGTAGCTCCCTTTATGTAGAGGGGTTCAGTGGTTTAGTGGTCCAATGGTCCAGTAGTGGTCCAGTGGTCCAGTGGTTCAGTTCCATTGATACTCGAGCTTCAGAACCATAAACGAACCAGCAAAGCTACTTTTGTATTGTATCCACCACAACAACCTTCCCTCTCTCACCGATACTTTTTTCCTCTCCTTCTCCTAAACATCCTTCCTCGTTTGGCCTGGAGTCAACAACATAATCTCTCTAATCTATTTTGACGATTTAAGACCAGGACTCTTTACTTAATACCACATAGATATATCGCACCACGCAAAACACCATGGACGAGATCGCAAAGGAGTACGATGTCATCGTTTTGGGCACCGGTAAGTTCTCTTTGGGCCCCGCATTCCCCTACCCTACTTGGACTTCGTTTGCCTGCTACGGCCTTGGTGGGGTTTGAGCTTCGTGATGTTGAGTTAGCTAACACGCATTCTCTCTTCGCATAGGTTTAACCGAGTGTATTCTCTCTGGGTATGGATTATGGATTACATCATAGCAGATCGCTGACACAACGTATCGAACTGGGCTAACAACTCCAAGTGTGCTGAGTGTCAAGGGCAAGAAGGTTCTACACATCGATCGCAATGATCACTACGGAGGGTAAGTAACAACAAACAATAACTAACAACATATCCCCTTATTATAAGTAGTCGACATATTGCTAACAAGTATATCCATACAGAGAGGCTGCATCCGTAAACCTCGAGACGGTACTTATCCCACTTCCCTACTCGTCAGTTTCGCCGATAACGTCGATGAGCTAACTCTATCCTTTCTCACAACAGCTATTCAAGAAGTATGGCAACTACACGAAGGGCGAGGAGCCATGGAAGAAGTACGGTCGACCCAATGACTGGAACATCGACCTGGTTCCTAAACTCCTCATGTCGTCCGGCGAGCTGACCAACATCCTCGTCTCTACCGACGTTACCCGCTACCTCGAGTTTAAGCAGGTCGCAGGCAGCTTCGTACAGCAAGGCGCTGGAGCAAAGGCCACTGTTGCCAAGGTCCCCTCAGATGCCGCCGAGGCCCTGCGCTCTCCCCTGATGGGTATTTTCGAGAAGCGACGCATGAAGAGCTTCATAGAATGGGTCGGCACCTTTGACCAGAATGATCCTGCCACACACAAGGGTGAGTAGTGGAAGCGACTTACAAGACGATAAAACAATAGCTGACGGTATCTTTCTGGTTAGGTCTTGACATAAGCAAGTGCACGATGAAGGAGGTTTACGACAAGTTCGGCCTTGAGACCTCTACTCGCGACTTCGTCGGCCACGCCATGGCCCTTTACCTTAACGACGAGTACAGTGATGAACCCGGCAAGGCCCCCGAAGCTATCGAGCGTATTAGGATGTACGGTAACTCGGTAGCAAGGTATGGCAAGTCGCCTTACATCTACCCCCTGTACGGTCTCGGCGAGTTGCCCCAGGGCTTCGCGCGGTTATCTGCTATCTACGGCGGTACCTACATGCTCAACACTTCAGTCAACGAGGTCGTGTACGAGGGTGGCAGGGCGACAGGTATCAAGGCTACCATGACCGGTATCGAGCCTGAGATGAAGTTCGAGACCAAGGCCAAGCTAATCCTCGGTGACCCTTCGTACTTCCCCGACAAGGTCAAGGTTGTCGGCCACGTGCTGAAGGCCATCTGCGTCTTGAAGCACCCCTTGGCTGGTACTAACGACTGCGACTCCTGCCAATTAATCATCCCCCAGTCCCAGGTTGGTCGCAAGAACGGTAAGTCTACATGCTGTAAGGATAAAATATGTGAACCGGTAGCTAATGGACCTAGACATCTACATTGCTTGCGTCTCGTCGGCACATAACGTGTGCCCTAAGGGTTACTACATCGCCATCGTTTCCACGATTGCCGAGACCACTTCCAACCACCACCTCGAGCTGCAACCTGGTCTGGAGCGCCTTGGCCAGATTGAGGAGCAATTTTTGGTAAGTCCGGACATCGATGCTCCCACCCCTGCCAGTCACGTATATTTATGCTCACCATTCGTTTAGGGTCCCCCTATCCCGCTCTATGAGCCCCTCGAGGACGGCACCAAGGACAACGTCTTCATCTCCAAGAGCTACGACGCGACGTCGCACTTCGAGACGACCACGGACGACGTCAAGGACATCTACGCGCGCGCCACCGGCGAGGAGCTCAAGGTGGAAGGCCTCAGAGACCTGCAGGTCACCGAGGAGTAGACGTAGTTTTAACTAAGTAATTCGGTGAGGCAGGTTTGAGGACACTCCGATTGGTAATACTTGAAGAAGGAGAGAAAAGTAAGCTGGTGGCGGAGCGTCGAGTATGCAAAGCACGCATGTGTATCCAGAGCTGTGGCTAGAATACCGACCAGATGAGGGACTACATGATATTCATACATACATTCATATATGCGTAGGAGGCACCGTGCGCCGGGTTTGAAGTCAAGGTGTAGCTCGTCGCTTCTTTTATTTTTCGCTCTGATTTGAAATCTGCAGAGAGGAGAGATATTGTAGTGTAGTTGTTGTTGCTTTGATAGACGTACGACTTTGTAAGGTCTAATTTTTTTCATATTGGATTTTTTATTATAGTGCCGCGACTATTTATGCTAGAGGGGTCGGTGAGATGAGTACCTCATACCTCGTGATATGTTTAATTTACGACTATGTGCGTTGAATAGTCTACCGTAAGGCTATGCTGGTAAGTTGTATGTAGTGGGGTGAGCCGTTTATAGGATGCGCCGTGGCTTGTGAGGCTACCTGCTTAACTCATCTACCGGATATCTGCTACTACTACTACTATTTATTGTGGTCGGTGGAAGATTGGAGGTTGAGTGTTATGCATATATGTCCCTAGCTAGGTACCTAGAGAGTTGTACCTAGTGGCTGGCGTAAGCGCCCTGTCTACCTATTTAATAGGTTTCGGGATAAGTTATGATCCCATTTCTTCATACTACTAGGAGGTAGTTTACTACGGTTCGTTCGGGATTTACTGACGGGTTGATAGGGAGATCCGAGAGACGGCGATAGAGGTGCGGAAATATACTTACCTTTAGTTATAGGGAACTGGTTGGAGAGATATGGGCACTTGCTGCTACAAATTGATAATGATACTAGGTTAGGTAGCTTCGGACGGAGTGCCGAATAGGTGATTGATTCTTGGAATAGTTAGAAAGGGACATTGCTGTTATACTATAACTAAGCTCACCTAGCGAGTGACTGACTTTTGGCTTTGGGGGAACCATCAGGTTACTAGGTGTGCTTCAGATAAGACATTTCCTTATATTCTAGCAGCTAGGGAAACCTTGATATCGTTACGCTTCAAGTATTTTCAATAATACAACTACCTAATGTAACTAGTTAGAACAATACTTTAGGTAGTTGTGTATAAAGGGGCCTCGGGTACTCATATACCTAAGCACTTGGAAGCTACACGGCGGGAAACACATGGCAGGATTGGATTGTATTGTACAGCTCCGTTCTATGCTAGCGTTGCTTTGGCTTACTCTGGCTTATCTGCATTGGTAATACCGTGCCTGCTGCTGGTGTAATACAGGGGCGTCTAACTTGAGAAGTTATTGTAACTACAAGTGGAATTCGTGATAGCACTCTATATACCTAGAGGATGATGCCGAATACTGTAATGAAGTAATTATTATAGTTAACACCTTTTATACTAGATATAGATAGGTTAGGTTAGGTACTTGATATCTTTAGGTACTCATTGGCTTAGGCACCTAAGATACTACCTACCTACACGTTGTCGTCGGTTAGGTTTAGGTCCTGGGGCTGGGGCTGGTTACTCGGGGCCTTAGGTACCTACCTACTAACCTATACTGGGCGGGTATTTACGCAACGTAAGAGTCGAATAAATGATCTAAGATAGGCGTGAAGCTAGATATACCTACCTAGGTAGAATCTGAGAAGCAGAACTGTGTTGTTTTCAAATTAGGTAGGTAACTATCTACCGATTTCTAGATAGCTTCTTAGGATTCTAGTCTATACGGCTATATCCTTAAGACTAGGTACATCCAACTCAGTTTGAGCGCCAGGTGCCATATTCGCTCCTGTGGTAATCGAGAGGCAGTTAGATTAGGTTAGGTAGCTAGATAAGTTAATATCTTATTTAATCGGCCGAATAAACGTTCTCAACCCTATGACCATTCTCTTGGTATAGTTCGTCTTCGTCATTTCCTTCTCTTCTAATTCCCTCGCCCGCAGAAATTACTGGCTATCTCTATTAGTATATCTTATGGATATCCCGAATAATAATAGTACTTATGTCCGTCGGGGTCATTATTGCCTTTTGGCTGCCTGGACGATAGCTTCCTTGTAGACTTTTAAGCAAGTTGCGTAGACTCCTTTCCTCGCTAGAAAGTAGGTTTGTCTTCTAACTAGGGGCTTGTCAAAAGAGCCTTCTGATTCAAAAGAAGAACTGAAATTCTAAGCTAAGTATGCAGATGCTAGGCGTCTTGTATCGAGTTACGCCTTAGATGGCGTGCTCACTTGGTAATCCTCTAACTAAAGCGACGTTTCCTGGGTGTGCTTTATGAATTTTTTATAGATTGAGTAATTACATAGTTATTCTACGAGCAAGATACGTGATCTGTCTATTGGTTGGGTACCTACCTAGGTAGTATTCCCACGAAACGATGTTGCTTGTGTTACATGTTACCTACAGTACGACGTATACTTGTATTGAATATCATGTAGTTAACTTCATAATGATTCTTCCCAGTTTAACTTGCGTAGCTAAGCCTCTATATACATCCCAAACCTGCGTATATACCTTAGGTAGGTAATCTACGGCCTAATACATTCATCTCAGCCGGATACAAGATTGCTATTACGTACCTACATATCACGCTGCGAAGATACTATGGCTAGAGCTCATGGAGTACTATCTACTCGCGATATCGTTAACGCGAATTTCCAATTTAAAATCGAAGCTAGCATTTCTGTGTTTCAAGAACTGCCTTCTATCCTCCTCTTCTAAGAGGAGAAGGGAAGGCCAAGTAAAATGACCTAGGATATCAATTTAGCTACTGACTTATTCGGAGGTATTAAAAAAAAGATAGGAGGTCCACTCCCGAACCACCTCAAGAGAATCGGATAGAGGTGCTACGTGTATGATAGCGGCGTAACTATCTCGCTGTTATGCTGTATCTTAACTATAGCAAGTAGTATGATGAGCTCATATATTTCTAATATAAGACTTGTTAACTTACCTACTGCATGGCGTATGGGGATACTTCCAGATAGATTCATCTTATAGTAGGATTGGAACAGGGAAAGGCCAGAGTGGAGTAGTTATATGAGCCCATTAACACTGTTTTATCCCGTAGGTATATTTGAGTTCAGAACGTTGGCAAACTGCGCGATGAGAATTGCGCTAATATGTGGATGGTATACTTCTACCTATTTCGACGCTCTGCTAGGGAATTTCTTGTACATATCTCAAACCTTGGACGAAGACTGACGTTAGCTTCTACGATATACACAGGAGTTATGTCCAGACCTAAATAATAAGCCATGTTATATTGTGGTATGTTAACAAAGAAGGCTCGTGGTATTACCTCTATCCCTATATCCCTTTCCTAAGATACTCCTATACTCTTACACTACTACGGTACGCACGTACTTCTAATAAATCTGCCTCGAGCTCATGGATAGCCAGCTGTTATGTATCTATCGAGACGCTGCCCTCCTTCAATGGTGTATCGTCTCTTGATATGCCTCTTGTGCAATCATCAATGCCATCAGGGGCCGTCAAGGTAAGTTTTCGAGGGAGTCGGTGTAAGTACCCTGAACCAAAGGCCATTGTAGCATCATGGGGGATCTAAATTTGGCAATAATTATTCCAAATCTACCATCTAGATGTCTAGCCTCGGCGTGCTCGCATCGTCTCAAGGTGCCGTAGTAGTAATAGCCAAGAGTAACAATAGATGCCTAACGCATAAACGTCTAAATTGTTAATCCCCAGCCTCTCTGGCCCTCTTACAGCAGTTTCTTAAATTACGGTGTATGATGGTGCGTGTCCGCTTGGTGAGGCGCATATTAGCGTCCATCTCGAAATAGCCACCCCCAACCCAACTTTGCTCGCGCTCGCAAATTATCATCATTAACATTATAATTATTGTTATTATTACTTCCCGCGTTTCAACTACCGTAAAGTTCGCAAATCCAATCCCATCTCGCCTTACCTACCTATCAAGAGGCGAGGCGGCGTGGACAACAGCAAATGCGATTTTGCATAGCCGTGAATAGGGGTAAGGGTAAGCGGTAGGTAGTGTCTATTCGAAGAACGGGTTAAGTCAAGTTAATCCACTTACACGACACGACACGACCCGTCCCTTGCATCGCTGCTATTGCAAACTTATGCGGTCCTCGGCCCCGGCGACGGAGTTTAAGTCCCCATAAGCACTAAACGGCCTGTCCTGTCCTGTCCTGGTCCCTTGCTGCTAGGTAGGTAGTTATTATCGCGGATGACTAAGGAAACCAACTGCCGCGTGCGAAAGCTGACGGAAAGCTGTGCTTAGTCGGAGTGGTCTTACGTTAGCAGCACGTGGCACGGCGACGATGCAGTATCCGTATAAGTGTAGTGTAGGGCTGACTGCTGACTACTATGTATGTACCTAACTATGATGAATGATATACACTGATGTATGATCCATGATCCTCCCGCTAACGCTTGGGGTATGGAGGAGTCTGGGAGTTTAGAAACCTGTGCAACAGCGGGTGCGGCTGGAAGACGCGGATAGCATCACTGCCCCGTCGACGACAAGGTTTCGGTCCAGGCACCGATATTCAAGACGTCGTGATTTGACCACGGATATACAAGGACGGTTGATACATAGGAATCAGGTGTTGCACTAGAAGCCACCTCGCTGACATGACGAGCGATCGATCTACATGTTGTGGCTGGGGATGGGCCAGTCGTATGAGGTATGTATGTAGGTATGTATCGTTGTCCCGGAGCGAGAACGAGCGAGCGGGCGAGCTGACCGAACCGACCCCGAGACTTGATCTATTCCGAGCGAGTTCGGTCCAGTCGAACATGATAGTAGTAGTAATACAGCGAGTGTCATGTCCGAGCTATGACGCAAGCATCGTGACAAAAGAGCGGAATAGCACCGCCTTTTTTCATACATTTTAGGTGGACTATGTACAGGCATCGTCGTGGGGAAGTAAGGGCACGGGCACCGTGAAGGTGTGAGAACTTACCAACAGTCGTAGGTAGTAGAGTGGTAGGTATCTACATAGGTAAAAAAATGGAGTCTTCGCTTCGAGTACCTAGACGCAACTTTGATAGTATTAGTATACCTAATATAGACTGACACCCAGAGCTCTTTCGCTCTCGTTTTACTAGGTTAAGGTAGTCTAGGTTCTCCATACGCGTTGTATGTATGTAGGTATGTATGTGATGAGATAGTACAAGATGAGCAAAGTAAAGTGATAGAAATAGAGAAAAAAAAAACACAACCCACCGTCAGCTCGAAGCACACGAAACAAGCGCGCGACGGGCACGAGCGATTGGTCAAAACAAACCAGGGGTTCGCCTCGGCTAGAAACTTACATAATGAACCTCAC